GCTTCTGCTGCTGCTGCTGCTGCTGCTGCTGCTGCTGCAGATCGCGTAGGTAATTTAACTTTATCCCCAAGCGACTACAGCAACAAGGAGTTGGTTGATGCGTTGAAGAAACTCGGTAAGAAAAACAAACAAAAGCAATAAAACAGAGATGCAGATACACCCCGTCGTATAGTTCTTTCATTTATACTATCTTTTTATATTTTTAATATGCTATTTATCTGCTTGCATGCATATCGACATACATGCAAATGAATTGTATATTTGGATGTATGTCGATGTAATATAAAATATAAAAAGATATAAATAAAAAAAACCATTTGACGGGGTGTATCTGCATCTCTGTTTTATTTCTTTTGATACATATATATTTACATATGCATATATATATATATGTATAAAGATATATATATATATAATATACATAAAGATATATATAAAGATATATATATATATATATATATCTTTATGTGTATGTGCATATGTAAGTAAGTACAGACGGAGAGATTTGATAGCATATATACAGGGACAAATGCAAAAGGCATACATATTTATATTTATATTTATATTTATATTTATATTTATATTCATATTCATATTTATATTTATATTTATATTTATATATATTTATATTTATATTTATACTTATATTTATATTTGTTTAATTACATATTTATTTTATATTTATGCGTCTATACATTTTACGTATTTCTATACTTTTGTTTATATATTTGTATTTCTTTTTCAGCGCTTAGATATATAATAAACCTACGACAAGAACAACAGACTAAAAATAATAATAATAAATAATAACAATAATAATAAATGATAAGGCTAATAGAAAATAATAACACAAATAACAACAATAATAAATAATAACAATAATAAACAATAATACAAACAAATAATAGTAATAATAAATAAAATAAATAAATAAAATAAATAAAATAAATAAAATAAATAAATAAATAAAAATAAAATGACAATAATAATGATAATAAAGAAAAGATTTGTTATTATTATATTATTTTGTTATGTGCAGGGTGTATAAGCGTAGGAATAATAGATTTAAGAGAAGCTCAAGTGTCTGTGGTGCTGTTTAAAGAGGGTTTTCTATCAAGAGTTAGAGTAGATAAGGCTGCACTTGGCCCTTTTATTCATAACAGTTGTGCTGGGAATCTAATACCTTTATCAATTCATCAGCACGAGAAGAGAAGCCGGCATATTACTAAAAGTACTCTCAATATTAATAGAATCTGTGATGAAGAAAATACCGGTGGACATCATGACCCCGGCTTTGCATGCGGCCCCACAGGAGCTACTGCATGCAAAAGATTAAATATCAATCCCTCTTCGTACGTCTTCTTCATGCATGTCAACTATATACCCTTTCTTATTCAAACCCTCTTTCTTACTCGCTGTTCATACACACTAATAATAATACATCCGCGACGAACTTTCCAGTGATACCCTAAACCCTAAACCCTAAACCCTAAACCCTAAACCCTAAACCCTAAACCCTAAACCCTAAATAAACCCTAAACCCTAAACCCTAAACCCTAAACCCTAAACCCTAAACCCTAAACCCTAAACCCTACACCCTAAACCCTAAACCCGAAATCCAATACCGTATATACCCTCCCCTCTGAAACTGTTGTGCTGCTGCTCTTACTGCTTTTGTTGCTTTTGCCTGCTGCTATTGCTGCTTTTGCTGCTAGTATTGTTGCTATTGTTGCTGTTATTGTTCCTGCGTTTGCTGCTGCTGCGTTTGCTACTGCTGCGTTTGCTGCTGCTGCGTTTGCTGCTGCTGCGTTTGCTGCTGCTGCGTTTGCTGCTGCTGCTGCGTTTGCTGCTGCTGCTGCGTTTGCTGCTGCTGCTGTTGCTGCAGGGCCCTTGAGGGTACTAAGTGGTACACCGGGAAGTATAACTGCTGCCCTGAGGTGTATGCTGAGATGCCGTTTGCGTGTCATGCTGGAGACTTCACAGGAAAATTTGGACAGGGTAAAAATGCATCGCCTGATGAGAATATACCTGACTACCGCTTATTGTCTCTTGATCTGCATGCAGACAATCCGTGTGTCGCTGTTGATAAACAACAGGCTCTTGTTCTTCACTGCCATTCGACAAGTGAGACACACTCCACCAACAAATGCTCCCCCTGCTGCTGCTGATGCTGCTGCTGATGCTGCTGCTGCTGCTGTTGCTGCTGCTGTTGCTGCTGCTGTTGCTGCTGCTGTTGCTGCTGCTGTTGCTGCTGTTTTAAAGGGTTTATTGTTAGGGTTTTAGAGGGTTTATTA